AGCACAACTAGCAGCAACACGGGTAGGTATAGGGAGCTGACTGCTGCAGTTTTTTATTTAATTTATATATTTATTTATTTATTTTTATTTATTTTTTTATTTATTATTTTTTTTTACTTTTATTTCGTCCATACACTCCAATTATAATACATATACACCTGCCTCACCGCCGATTGGTTTGCTGCTGCTGCTGCTGCTGCTGCTGCTGCTGCTGCTGCTTGCTGCTGCGTTTCTGTTTTCTTTTTCTATGTTTTTATTTATTTTTTGTTTATTTCTTTTTTTTTTAGGTCCATTAACCTCTCTCCTTCTCAATATAAATGTCGGTAGCAGCAAATTCAGCTGCTGCTGCAGCAACAGCAGCAACAGCTACAGCCGCCGAACCACCAGCAGCAGCAGCAGCAGCAACAGCAGCAACAGCAGCAGCAGCAGCAGCAGCACAAGGAACGATACAAAAGACAATCCCTGCATCTGCTGCCTCCCCTATATGCCCCCAGCACGGCGTATATATAAAACTAGCGGATGTAAGACAGAGTGCTTCTCCCGCTGCTGCTGCAGCAGCAGCAGGAACAGCAGCAGCAGCAGCAGCAGCAGCAGCAGCAGCTCCTGCTGCTGCTGCTACTCTGGTGACATATGAAGAATTTGTATTAAATATAAAAAACTTCAGCCACCCGGGAGGAGACGATCTGCTGCAGCAGTTTTATGGTGGAGATATAACAGCAGCATTTGCTGATGCAGGCCACAGCAGCAGCGCGAAGCTGCTGCTGCTGTCTTTGTGTGTTGGTATCATCGAGGAGAAGAAGCAGCAGTATATCCATAAAACTGGCAATGTTTGCTGCTGCTGCAGCAGCAGCAGCAGCAGCTGCAGCAGCAGCAGCAGCAGCAGCAGCAAGTGGAAAGAATTCGGCAGAGAAAACGGTGTAAAAAGAAGAACTGCAGCAGCAGCAGCAGCAGCAGCAGCAGCAGCAGCAGCAGGAAAGGATAGCACCACAGATGAGGAGTCAGAGATATCGTCATACACTGAATGCAGCACAGACAACCCAGCAGCAGCAGCAGCAGCAGCAGCAGCAGCAGCAGCAGCAGCAGCAGCAGCAGCAGCAGAGCCTCTTATAGACCTAGATAAACCCCTCGTTCCTCAGGTGTATAGGATGCAGCACGAGGTGTATATGCAGCTCATCAATACACCCCACTGCACCAAAAAAGTTTATACACTTCTCCCCTGGCCTAGGTAAACCCTAAACCCTAAACCCTAAACCCTAAATTAGGGTTTATATAATATATAAAACCCTAAACCCTAAATTAGGGTTTATATAATATATAAAACCCTAGGGTTTAGGGTTTATATAAAACCGCTAATTACGGCTTTTATACACATTAGGGTTTATATAAAACCCTAAATTAGGGTTTATATAAAACCCTAAATTAGGGTTTATATAAAAACTAGGGTTTATATAAAACCCTAAATTAGG